CATGAACCTCTTTAGATCACAGAATATACATGCATTTAAAGAAGGCATGTCGTTTCCCATTTAATATTTTGTGGCGGGATAGCCGATGAGGCAAACTTGTATTTCTTATTACACTAGAATACATTAAGTATATTTTAATAAAATAGATTTTTAATAAGAGCTGTTTTCAGCCTAAGTTGCGTTGGGTAACATGAACGGATTGTTAAGGGATTTTGTGGACAAGTTGATGAATTTAAAGCGAAGAGGAATACTTAATGTTAACACCATTTAATCAGTATGGCTCAGCAGTAGTGATGGGAGACTGTCAACGAATGCAACTAAGCTCCATCACACTCAATTAAGGGAGGAGTAGTAAAAGTTTATGGAAACAAACAATAGTATATAGTGAAATACAGATGAGACTAGGCCATCTGAAAATGAAGAACAAATCTAAATGACTTGAGCATCAGTAATAGGCCTAGAGAGTATATTAACACCATTAAAGTGCTTTATGAGGCTAGTAACGGTATTTCATTGTTCCATAAATCATTTGTAATCTGATGTTAAGACTGACGCTTTTTATTGGCGGTGCAAAATATAAAGTATAAAAAACGTTGGATAATGGTTAGAGGCTGGAAGAACACATTAAATTAATGTCAGAGAGCAAAATAAGGTGTGATCAGTGCGTGAGGTACTTTCCTTTGAATGTCTTTACAATACTTTCAAGTTATTTTTATATTTTTTATATCTTTTAGTTAGAGCTTTGGCAAGGCCATAAGATTTTCATATGAAAATAAATTCCACTGCCAGATAGTTATGTATATATGATTTATCATAGCTGTCTTGTATGCTAACGCATTGTCATCCTATTTCTTGAACTTTGACCCTGTTATTTGACAGCAATAAAATACATTTGAGATGTATTCACCTAATTTCGTTTAATGTGATTAAGGACTTGTAGAAGAATTTTCTCACAATGATATAAGTAGAGCTAACGTTTCCATTGAAATTCAGATAACCTTGCTTTACCAAAAGTTGTTCTCGTCCAGGGTGGACTGCAGTTTCGACTTCGCATCGGTCTTATCAACACCGCCAGCGAAATTCGAACCGTGATAGTGCAGAATGGTAGCTTGATACGTTAACCTCTCGACCACACTGTCACGAATGCTCTTGGATCAGAAGATAAAATGTGAATTTCAAGGAAGGCTGGGAATTTTGCCATATCGTATTCTTGGGTTAGATTGTGGATTAAGCAAACGTATGTTTGCTATAGCAATCGACTACGTTATTTATTTTTCGCATTTAAGTATTGTTTCGAGACTACCACTTAATCAGTAATATGAGATGTATTCACCCAATTTCGTTTAATGCGATGAAGGACTGGTAGAAGAATTTTCCTACAATGATATGAGTAAAGCTGACGTTTCCATTCAATTTCACATAGCCTTGCTTTGCCAAAAGTTGTTCTCGTCCAAAATGGACTGCAGTTTCGACCTCGAATCGGTCTTATCAACACCCCCAGCGGGAGTCGAACCGTGACAGTGAATGGGAGCTTGACGCATTAACTACTCGGCCACATCTATTCTGTTAAGATTCCCAACTTTAATAAAAGAAATCCATCTGATGGCCAAATATTATTTATGTTTTTACGTTATAATTTTATTGAAAACTGCCTCGCCTCTATTTAATATATTGTTTCTCTTATTCCTTTACATTTTTACAATTTTCCACCATTTCTAATTAAATTTTTTATATATGCTTTTGTCTTGTAACAAATATTTTCCTATTCACTATAAGCTTTATGTACGCCTTCATTCCCTTCAATCATGTAATCCTTTCAGTCTTAGTATTTAGCCTTATAATCTTAATAGTTTCCTTTGATTTATTTTATCATTCTATATGAATAATTGCTTATTACGGTTGCTTTATTTTATCTGTGATTTGCTTTATTTTTGCCACTGATTAATAAATGATAAAGGAATGTATCATATTCATTCTAATCTATAAGAGCAAATCATATGATACTAGAAGTAGCCACTTTTCTTACTTATAAATTTTATTAGATTAGTTAATTATTTTAAAGTACTATAAAACTATTTAACATTAATTCACGACTCTTCTATACACCGTGATTTGTGGGTGAATTGGATAGCATGCATTCGCCTTTAATTTTTTATAGCTCCTTTATCAAAACTTCTTGGTGGAGCTAACTATAATTTAGTCGAAATTAATTTAAATATGAGAAATTAATTAGAGAAAATCTAGGAGCCAAAATACGCTAGTTGTATATAACATTCATACCTGGGTAGCGAAGTAGACTCTTTCAAGGAATCTATTATTTTAAAATGAAGTGTCACCATTTGTTATTAGACCTTTTGGGCTCCGTCAAATAGGTTGCTGAAGAAAAAAAGAAATATGCTTATTAGAATTTAAATGTGAATACAGGTTCGTAAAGATTTAATACTTCAACTGAATAACATAAGTAACAAAAATGGATTTACATAGCCATAAATGTAAATAAATAAAATTCCATGACTAATTAAATGTTTAAATTTATATATAGTTATGATAATTACCAGAATCGATATTCAAAATAATTCTTCGGACCCCCCTCCTTTTGGCGATTTTTCATTAGTTGTCCTCCGCTGGTCCGTTTCTCTGTGCGCCTTTGTAACGTCTTGTTTATGGATTCAGTTTCATTAGGTAATCTGTCATGTCTTCATAACCAGAATACGCTCACCAAATTCAGTACAGATCGATCCCATTTATCATGTATGGAATGTACTGATGAGTGGAGTACTTCGGTACCCTTAATCCTTTATATAATTATAGCTCTTAGAATTTAGTCCATCCACCTTCCAAGATGGAATCTAACTGCGCACTTGGATCAAGAGTGCCAAATATACCCTCCGATCCAGTTCCACTTCATTGCAATATAATGCTTTCTCGTCCCGAGCCGGATGCATTAGAATGTATGCCATTCAATCTATCTGTCAATGAAAGTGAATTGAACTGCCTGAGCAGTTCCAAAGTAACAGATGCAACAGATGCATGCCCAGATCAGATGTTCTCTGACTCTTCGCTACGAGATCAGGCAAAATGTCTCCAGGATAACCAACCCTCTTGTATAATGCAAGCGAACGTTAATAACAACCAACAGATCCTCAATCTGTTGACCCATGATTTCCTCTGGGCTCCTTTTACAGATGCTATGGCTAGGCGCCAGTTTACCCTACCTCTGACGCAAGCCGTTGTCAAAGAAGGATGGTTGATGAAACGTGGAGAGCATATTAAGAATTGGAGACGTCGTTATTTCATTCTAAGAGAAGACGGAACATTTTATGGTTATAAGAGTATGCCTAAGGTGAGCAATACTGTGAGGCCTGGATAACTATTTTTATCTGGTCAGTCTATTACCTAAGACTTGCTTATTAATCTTTTCTTCATTATATGTATACCTGCTAGGATGATATGGCTCAGCCTCTCAATAACTTTACGGTCAGAGATTGCCAACTTATCGTGCTTAACAAGCCCAAACCATTCACTTTTCTAATTCGAGGTCTGCAGTGGACTAATATAGTAGAGCGACTCTTTTTCGTTGAAACAGAGGTAGAGCGGAAACACTGGGCAGAGGCTATAATTTTAGTCGCAAACAAACTTAAACATGTTTCTGAAGCACAAACTCCGTTGATAGAAGTAAAATTAGATGAGAATGTTGAATTGGATTTACCTCAAACGTGAGTTAGAATTTTATGATTTGCTGTTCACTTATTTAAGTTACATATTTTTAATGCCTCAATTGCTTTTAGCATATGAATCATACATTTAACTCCAAACCAATGTTATTTTTTGCCAAATATTCAACTTTTCATTTGGAATATCTGTTCTGCATGTTTAGCAAGGGGCTATTCTTTGATTTGTTTGTCATGAATTTATTTCAAAATATTCTCCGAATCGATGTCATGCTCACAATGTAAATGTTTTAGTTATGCGAGGTAACGCCATACATCTATAATATTCTCTATATTTATATTATAGGAGGGACTGCTTTGATTTCAGAGGTTTTTTATGAAATAACTTGACCTATCAGACTTTAAATATGTAGGGATATAAATCGTCTATGATTTAGTTTGTTTTTCTTATTCCTTATTTATTCTCCATAAATAATGCTTCATTCTTCCTAATTTCAATTTCTTGGAAGCGATATTTTGTTAAGCCTAGATTAATTTAGATGATAAATAATACGTACCGTATTTCCCCATGTATAAGCACCCCCCAATTTTTTGACTGAAGTTTTGAAAAAAATATTTTATTAGTGAAACAAGTTACAAAGAAAGAAAAGTTACAAACAAACAAAATTCAAAACTCAACAATCGCTCATACACTCATCATCACTGTCTGTTGCATCAGGTATAGTGACAACCCCCTCACATTCTTCGTCTTCTTCTATATCACTGGCATCGAATTTAGCTAACAGTTCTTCCTCTGTATCATCTTCATCGCCATCTTCATCTATCAAGTGATCTTCTGAACCATCAAGAGAATTAGAGATTCCACATTTTTTTAAAGGCTGTCCTCATGGACAGCTTCTCTCTCTTCATGAAGCGATAACACCAATTTGCTGAACTAGTAAAGTTTTAAACTTCTTTTTCTCTTTCTATTCTTTTGGCTTCTTGCAAAATCATCTTGGTTGTAATAACTGCACCAAGCTGTCGTTGCCCAACTATCCATGTCTTCAATTCCTCAAAATATGGCCACTTGGCAGACTTCCCACGACATGCTTTTTTCTTCTTTGGCATTTTCCGAAGCTTCTCTTCCTCCTTCCATCTGATGGTTGCCCTCCTATCTGGTGGAGGTCCAAATTCCCGCTCAGCTGCATGATTGCCAAATTATTTGGCAAACTTAATGACTTTTAACTTT